CTGCAACTGCAACTGCTGCTGCTACTGCAACTGCTGCTGCTACTGCTACTGCTACTGCTACTGCTACTGCTACTGCTACTGCTACTGCTACTGCTACTGCTACTGCTACTACGACGACGAGGACTACTACTAACACTACTACTAACACTACTACTACAACTGCAACAACGACAACAACAACAACAACAACAACAACTACTACTACTACTACTACTACTACTATTGCTTTGCTGCTGCTGCTACTACTACTACTACTACTACTACTACTACCACCACTACCACTACCACGGCGACGACGACTACGACGACGACTACTACTACGACTACGATGACGACTACTACTACTCTACCACTAACACTACTACTACTACTACAACAACAACGACAACAACAACTACTACTACTACTAATACTACTACTACTACTACTACTACTACTACTACTACTTTTATTACTACCTGACGTGCTTCGAAAACGCAAGGCCCCCAAGCTCCCAAACCTTGAAGGTAATCCAAACTTCCTAAGCCCGAAACCCAGGATCCCCAAAGCCCACAGAATGATTGAAAAGCCCCCGAGTCCCCAGAGCCCATACTCCCGATACAAGCCCCAAAGCCCCCCCAAAGAGCCCGAGACTTTCTGCCAGCCCCGGCCTGACGGCGGGATGCGACAACGTCAACGCCTTTGTGTTGAAGACTGGGGTTCGCCAGATTCGGGAGGATTTTGGACGAATTCTACAAGAGTGGGATTTTGGGGGATTTGGGACGAATTTTGCAAGAGTGGGATTTTGGGGTTTTGGCCCCGCTGAAGCCTAAGGCCCTAAACCCTCGACACGTAATCTAGTGAGCCCGAAGTTTGCTTTGCCAAAGGCATGCGTGCCAAACTTGCCTGTCGTTTCTTGCAACGTGACGGTGGCATTTTAGTCACCCCCCGGGATCGCATCCCGAGCGGCTGAAGCTCGCACGCCGCAAGTCTCCGGCAATACGCCGCGGAGCTGATTTGGTTGCTTCTACGACGGAATGCAACCCCGAGCCAGCAATCTAAATTAAGATCCCTGAACCCCTGCAGGTCATGTTACAACTAAGGTTCGCGAAGTCCCCTCCGCATGAGATGAGCGACGAAGGACGGACCTGTGATTGCGTTCGAAGGTTCAGGTTCCGGGACTTCGTTGCGAAAGGATGTCAAAACAAACATCCCGAGCTCCGCACCGGAGGTCTTCCTCCATGTGAGGCCCCTGCATCGGCAGGTCAAAGAAACGCCCACGAGCGACGCTCAGACAAAGAACTTAGAGCAAGCTTGACATCCCCGAGGCAGAGATGAGTAGCTGCAGGGGTGGCTGTGAATGCCCTAATTCCATACATCCATAGCTCATGCAGCCAGCCTGCCGCCGACCCAAGCCAGGAGCAAGCTGCACCTGCAGCTGGCAGCCAAGCTGGGCGGGTATGTTGTGCTGTTGGGTTGTGAGCCAGCTTCATGACCAGCTGAGCAGTCTGGCAGATTGCTGAGGACAAAGTCCAGGATGCTGTGGACACCGCATAGAACACTGGAAGTGAGGCTTCAGGGTAGTTTGCCGGAATCCACCTGCCTGCTCCAAAACTCCCAGCCCTTCTAAACCTTTACTTCCCTTCCTTTTTCCAAGCGCCTCTCTGGCTGATGCTTATCTCACAGCACATTGCAGCCCCCCCTCAAACTGATGGATTACTCGGTGCGGGCCGCTCCGGGCGTTCTGCGGTACACGTGTCCAGTTTAATGAATGACAGTGAGGAGGATTTTGGATGCCGCGGACACAACAAGACCGAATTCTGGAACTTCACATGCCTCCAGTGTGGATGAACTGGCCATCGTGGCGAGATTGTATGCTTCTAAAGCAGCCCAAGGGGTCCGTAAACGTCAGGACCTTGCAGTTGAGGTACGCAGGGCGTTCTGAGCCATCATGTTTCGTGGGATCCTTGCGGTACCGAGCTTCCTTTTGCCCCCCAATGTTGGTGCCATCATCTTGCTGCGATGTGCTGCAGGCTCGAAGATGGTGCCTAGCCCGCTGTACAGAACAGACCATGTACAAGCTATAGTTTTATCAAGTACATATAAACACAAAAACTACAGGGTACAGTATGTGTATATATACATGTAGATAGATAGACAGATAGAGAGAACGAAAGAAAGAAAGATAGATAGACAGATAGATAGAGTGATGGTTGTTTTTGCTTATCAGCTGCATGATTTTCTAGAAATGCAAGTGGACGCAGTGACTATACATCGGCGGGATGTAGGGACAGGAAGACCAGACCTGGCCCGGAACAGAGCCCTGAACCAAGCAACCCGGCTCACATCTTCGCCCTGAGCCCCAAGTAGATCCATCTGAAGTCCGCGGTGGCAACCTCGGGGTGCCGACTGCAGCATGACAGCGGCGGTGGTGGGCACGGCTGCAAGCGAGGGTTTCTATTCTGAGGCCGTTCAAGGCCATGCAACCCCCGGCCATGCAACCCCCGGTGGCTCAAGTTTCCCACAACTTTTTTAAAGATTTATGGAGGCTGAGGCGTTTGACAGCACCCATCATGCCCTGGATTTGAGGTCTTAATCTCCAGTTGCCTACGCCCTAAACCTCTGAACCCCCTCACTCCGAAACGAGGTGGACGTGCACGCGGAGGGGCTCCGGCAACTGGAGCGAGCGGAGCGTCTGGTGGAGGCCCCGGGGAGTTCGTATGTTCAGGGTTTGGGGGTCTAGGGCTTCGGGTTTTGGGAATTGGGACTTAGGGGTTAAGGATTTTTGAGGAAGTTTTTTGTTACAGGCATAGTTAGAGCTTTTTGTGCTTGCCAGGAGGTTTTGTTAGGAGGTGCCTGTGGCTTGCAAGTTTGCAGACTTTGGAGGTTTGGCGTTGAATGCCTTCACGTGTTTGAGCGGTTTTTCGTGGGTATCTGAGGCACCTTTGTCTAGGAGTCTAGCAGTACTACATAGAACAGGTTCACTTTCAGAAGCGCGCCTGGAGGGCGGCTTGCGGCTTTCGCAGCATTTTCAGATTTGGGTTGGGTTCGAGGCTCCGGGACCCCTCCGAGTTGAAGACCTGGACCCTAAACCCCAAAGCTTTAAACGCTATAAACCCTAAACCCTAAACCCTAAACCCTAAACCCTAACCCTTTAAACCCTAAACCCTAAAAGCCCTAAACCCTAAACCCTAAAAAAAGACCCTAAAGGAGCCAACAAGCGAACCCCTCCAAAAGCCCCGAAAAGCCTCCGGTCCCGTCGAGCCAAGAAGCCTTCAGGTTGGCTCCAGCGGCCCAAGGCGCCGCGGGCTGTTCAGCGGGGTTTAGGGTTTATAGGGTTTATAGGGTTTATAGGGTTTATAGGGCTTATAGGGCTTATAGGGTTTAGGGTTTGGGGTTTATAGGGTTTAGGGTTTAGGGTTGCGGTTTTCGGAATATCGGTTTCCTTGAAGCCAAGCCGTTGGCTCGGGCTCTCAGGGAGCTCTGTCCTTGTTGTTCACAATAATGATATTACTCTACACCCTAAGCCCTAAACACTACACATGGGGCCAGATTCCAGGCCTACCCCCCTGAAGAGTGCATTCATTTTTCCTAGCCCTGGCCACTAGCTCTGGGCCGGGACCTGGCCCAGTGAGCGAAACTTCCGTGGAGCCCGAATCCCGAGATTTAGGGCGCACCCTTGCCTTTCACATACCTAGGCAGCATCCCCACAAAATTGGGTTTTAAGGCCGGCATTCCAGCCTTAGACTTATCTTTTGTTATCATTGTATGCACCGCCATGTTTCCGTTTGGTTAGCTGTTGGTCGCGTATGGCATGCTACTGCGCTAACCTTCGCACGACCTGTCGAGGACACCTCTCAAACCGAACCACCCTGAACAACGAACCCTAAAACTTAAACCCTAAACCCCTTCTTTCGTGGTTTTGTTTTTGTTTTGCCCTCGTGGTTTGGGGCAAACCCTTCGTGGTTTAAGGCAACGCCTTCGACATTCCGGTTTGGGCAAAATTCCCGTTTCGGGCTAGTAGGATCCCTGCGAGCTTGCACTAAACCCTCATGTTTGCTTTTATTTTGCATCCGATATGATGCACTATAACCTACCATATTGCTCTGATCTGTACTATATGCTATGATATATTATATATGTGTTATTGTATATTACACTATTTACCTCTATATACTATACTACGTGCTGTAAGACTGTTAGTGTATACTGTACTATAGTATGGTATACCATACTCTACTGCATATTATACTCTAGTATACCATGCTTTTTTCATCTTCTTGGAGCCGACCCAGGAGTCGGAGAACCGCGGTGCACAAGTCGCTGGAGCAGCTCTTTGGAGAGGCGCGGCTGAGGCCCCGCAATGGAGAGGGCTGACGGGTTCCAAAAAGGGTCCTATGACGGTTTTAAACGGGTTCCGTCTCTGGGTCTTGGCGTTTGAGGTTCTGGGTGTTTTTTGTTCTGGCGGAGTTGTTTCTGCACGTTTGTGGTGGTCAGGGTATCAGCTATGTTCTGAAACTCCCCAGAAGATAACTTAGACCCTGATTGAGGATACACTCTCCCTCAACGGTTCAGTGAGGGCTCCTACTTGTTTCGCGTTACCGGAACAGGGTTTTCATTAATTTTGAGTGTGCATTAGTCATTAGGCCGAGCAGTAACCCGGCGAGTCATTCCTTGCAGTGTTTTTTCGGCCTTTGTGGCAAGCAACTGAGCAGATGACACTTTCGGTCTCAAGTTGACCGTCGTTTTTGGAAATGAAGGTGCGGCTTCGGCCTAGGACGCCGGTTCTGCCAGCTTTTGTTTCGGTGTTGGCTGCACGGGTTCCACAGAATTTCTTTGCCAGGTTCCAGGTCCAGCGTCGTTAATGGGCGCAATGTGAAACTTCCAGCTATCTGCCACTTGCAGCGCTTCACGCTTTCTGGCCGCCCGAAATCCGAAAAGCTTCTGAACTTGCGTCCCAAAGCTTGAACCTCATCCCTACAGACAGAATCATAAAATCCCTAACTTGAATGGAGGTCGCAGACGTTCTCCGGAGCAAATGCCTTTGCATCCACCTCCTCCTTGCCTCGTCTCCTTCAGACGCCACAGGCGCAGAGGCTCCCGACCGGCTTTCATGAGGGGCCGTAATCGTAATAATAACAATAAGAAGACGAAGAATACTAGCAATACTAATGATAATAAAGAGTAATAATAGTACTAATCATAATATATATATATATATGTTATACAATTTGGACTCTGGCTAAGCTAAACGGTGTTATAATTCATGATAAGGTTGTTGAAAAGGTTCTGTCGGGTTACAATTTAAAGGCCTGTATACTTTATAATTAAAAACAGGGTTATGCATGGTGTATATCATACAATAACTGCATAGGGAGCGCTAAGGAATAGTCAGGCCTCTGTTTTGCGCTGCTCGGGTTCACGGTGTAGGATTGTTGATGTCATGGCGAGACTTTTCAGAGGAAGGATCCCACCAGGTTAGGATCCGTACCGATAGTATATAATATGAGTGTGTATATACATATATGTACATTGTGTATATATATATATATACATACATACATATACACGCATAACAAAGGGGACAGATCTTGACAAAAACGACAACACCACAAACCGCCACTTCCTGCGCATGAATCTTGTCATTGAGTTTGAACCTGGACCCAGGCTAGAGAGGGACATTGCAGACTTCACCCTGGTACCACAAACTGCGCCGGGCGCGGCTCTGCCTCGGGCGGACGCTGAGCAGCCGTCCTTGGGCCTCCAGGCGCCAGGGCTGTCCTAACTCGGGTTCACGAAGAGTCTAAGAGGGCTGGTTCACAGTGGAAAGTTCTGGCATCGCAAATTTGCGGAAAAGGAGAGTCATGGCCTAAACTGTAAGTTCTGAGTCGGACACCTTTTCTGAACCCCATAATCCCCTGCTGCGAAGCCGATACTCAAACCCCGAAGCCCCCGGAACTCTTTACCCTAAAAGTCCTAAACCCTAAACCGACTAATTAACCGGTTGAAGAACCATTCAATAGAGCACTCTATAGAATCCATATAGAGCCTTGGACCGCGGAACCTGAAGCCGAGGAGTTCTTCGGCTTGCGGCACGAGCGCGTGATCGTGGAAACCGTTGAGGCCTTGGGGTTCGGGGCTTTAGGGGTTCAGGGCTTTAGGGCTTTAGGGGTCTAGGGCTTTTAGGGTTTAGGGTTTAGTTTAGGGGGCCTTATGGGGTTTAGGGTTTAGTAGGGCCTTATAAGGTTTAGGGTTATAAGGGTTTAGGGTTTCCAGACAAACCCACATCCCTCGCTCGTGCTTGAGCTCAGAGTCGGCATAGCTGATGATGATTTGGATGTGTATGGTAGGTGTGGATGATGATGATGATGATTAGCAGTAGGAGGAGCTTTGTTGCTATGCTGTCTTTTGTTTGTTTGTCTGATGATGATAATGATGATGATGAGCGATGGTGATGATGGTGGTGACGGCAATATGAAGAACGAGAGTTGACAACACCACGGTTGCTGCAGCACCGGCAGCAATGATCCTTGCAGCAGTGGGAATGAAGAGGCACCATCATCAGCAAGATTGACACCACTTCCCATCATCACTACGGTACTATCAATCGGATTCGGGTTCGGCGGGTTCGTCATGTTTTTTCGAGTGGTTTATCACAGGGATTCACAGGGAGCACAAGGGCCTTCCCAATTCCTGAAGTCTTGGCCACAAAAACCGCTGTGCCTGCAGGAACTTCGCAGAATCACGCAGCTAAGCACTTGTCTCGTCTATGGAGGCACCAAGTTTGAGGTTCGAGTGCATCCGCACAATGATCAAACCAAGAAACACATCCAACAAGTAATCTGAGGTTTAGGGGTTTAGGGTTTAGAACAACCGAAGTCGTAGCGAAATCTTCGGTACTTTCTGTCCTGCGAGCAAGCCGCCGAACCGTACCTTAAACTCTGCCGGCCGAAAGGCAAAACTCAACAGTGACCCTGAACAATAGTCAATAAACCCAAGCTCTACACCCCAAGCCCTAAAACCAGAAAGTAGGCAAAACCACATCCATCACCTAAGCCCGAAAAGCAGACAAAGCCCTACAGCTACAGCTTGAATCCTTAAGCCTAAAGCCTGAAATGCACTAACACGCCCCAGCCAGGAGAGCTACAGGGACTGCTTGCGGAGCTGCGAGCGCCAATCCTTCGACCGACTCCAGGCAGACTGGGAAGAGGCGAAGATGCAGCTCCCCGCCGGCCTTTCTGAGGTTTAGGGGTTTGGGGGTTTAGGGGTGCAGGATTTCGGGCTTGAGGGGTATAGGATTTTAGAGCTTAGGGTGGTTTCCGGGCTCAGGACTTCAGAGATTTGTCCCGAAACCTTTCACACGGCGGTAGAACTGAACATTTCCTTTATGTTGCACTTTGTATTTATATTGGGACTATTATAATAGGGGATCATTGAATGACAGAGTGGAGTGTCCATGCGCAGGCAAAGCTTAAAGCTCTCGGTGCACTTCGACCGAGCCAAGGATCATAGCGGGCTGCCTGCCCTAGCAGTGTTCTGTTGTCGGTGGGCACCATCTCAAGATGTTTGCTCTCTCCAGCGTGCAAGCTTCTGCAAAACAGCCCGTAGCATCCCTGAATTAATGTCTGCGACCTTGAAGAAAACCCCTTTGAGTCTCCCAGAGCTGCTCCTTTGCTCTCTGCCTTCTTGCGTCGGTGTCCGTTCTTGTCCAAACCCCTCAACCCTTCTAACTTCTAACTGTGGTAAACTTGCACTTTGAGGTTTCTTGGCAACCTCCAGCGGTTGGGTCAGGGCTCGGCGGCCCCTTGCACGATCGAAGCCGATTTGGAGCTAGTATTCGGAACTGATGGGCTTTATTTCCTGTCCGGCTTCCTGTCTATTGATAGCCAGAGTGGACCCCCAACCCCACTGTCGAAGCCCTAGAGCCCTGGAGCTCAAAACAGTGGACCCTGCACCTGGAGTTAGTAGATCTGCATGCGAAGCGAACAGCAGGATGCTGGAATCACGTTACGTGGCCCTGTTCAGAGCAAAATCAACATCACCGAGCACCCTAAACCCTAAACCCGAACCTTCATGAAAAAGCCTGAGCGCAGCATGCCTTAGCTTTGTAGCGTGATGTCATGGCCCACCGGCGCTGCGCAGGTTGGTGTAGTGCTGTAGGGAATGAATCGCGAGATTGAACATTATGTCTCGTGCATTTTTGGTGCTACTATATCATTGCTGCTATTGAGTGCTACTGTAGCATTGCAACATTATTACAACATTACAGCATCATCATTATTGTGCTGTTCGTAGTGGCATCCTCATGTATAGTACGTCGGGGCTGTAGAAGGTTCCTCGAAGCCGTGAGACCTCCCAGGTCCTGGCGCTATGCAACGACGGCTCCGCCTCGAGCCCGGCGGCCGTGCCCCCCAAGGAGGCCGGCCTTAGGTTAGAGGGCCACTCAGAGGGGTACTCGTTGCATTGCAGGGGGTACTACGAAGGGTTTGGGATTTCAGCTTTTTGTGTTCCGGGGCCTGGGGGCTGCGGGGGGATGTATGGGTTGACATGTTGACGACAGCAGTGGCAGCAATCATGCCACGAATCGTGAGCATGATCATGGTCCTCACTGTTTGAATGAAATTTGAACCACAGAGCCAATACACAAAGCTAGGTGTCCCAGAAAAGGAGTCCAGAAGCCACAAAGTACTCAACCTCCTGAAAGCACCAGGCACCGAAGATCCTAAACCCTTAACCCCTAAAGCCCTACATCCCCGAACCCTAAACCATAAAGCCCTAAACCCCTAAACCCTAAAGCCTAAACTGGTACTCCCAGCGGCGGCCTCCAGTCGCAGGACTCCCCCATCATCGAGGCTCTCCTGAGTGAGCCCATGGGCCCGCAACTGGTGCAGAAGCGGCTCAGCTTGGTTCGGGCTCTCAGGGCTTTGGGGTGCCGGGCTTCGAGGGCTTGGGTGTAACGTTTAGGACCCTAAACCCTAAACCCAAAAACCCAAAACCCTAAACCGCTCCTCCGCTTTCTTCCCAGCAGCCCAGCAGCCCGAGGATCGCGCACCTGAGCAGTGCCAGCTGCCCAGCCTACCAGGCTGAGCTGAAAGAGTGCTGGAGCCTTGTGCTGTCGGGTTTCATGAGTGGCATTAAGGGTTTAGGGTTCAGGGTTTAGGGTAGAAGGCTTGACGGTTCAGGGTCCCTGGGATCAGATTTTTGTTGGGTTTCAGGGCTCACGGCTCAGGGGGCAGAAGGTGTTTGACCTAGGGTCTAAGGGTTTGGCTTCGAGCGTTCGCGTGTTTGTTTCAGGAGGATGCGATGGCATTTCAGCAGATCCGCAAAATGCGTACCGACGCACACATGCATGCATATTTCGGTCAGGCTTTGAGGATGTATCAAGGCGTCGCTTCTTCAGCATGCGGTATTGACGCTGAGGTTGGCTATGAGTTAAAGCACTGCCAGAGTTGTGGGAGCAACGACTCTGCGCTTCATTGCTCCAGAGCAATGTTTCTACGCCACTTCTAAATTCTACTGCTGTAACTAGGTAGTGCCGTGATGTTATCTCATCGTTTTGCTTTGTGTCATCTGCCTTCTGGAGTTCTTTGAAGCCTGCCCAAGGAGCATCCTCACCCAGGAGTTGCAACTTGGACCTGCAAGGTTGATTGCATGGGCTTGCCAGGACTCTGTGAGTGGGATCCTTGCCGCGGCGGCTTCAGGACTTCAGAAGGCATAGAAGGCATTCCGGCGCAGCAGCATGCTTCGAGAAGTGAAAACACCACCCCTGCCCAAAGCCGCAACGAAAATCCGAAGCCGAAGGGGTTTGCGCTGTCTTGTGAGCGTGGGATGCACCGAGGAAGATCACCCTGGGGGGTATCACTGCCGGAGCTCTCACATACCTTCAGAATCGCTTCTTTGACGAGGCACTTCACGCTTGTCAGAAACCAGCCCGAAAACACCAGTCCGAGATGGAGCTCCTACATCCAAAGTTTGCCGAGACCGTAATTACTCGAGAGCAGGATCTCAACACTGCCAAGCTCGACAGCCCTCGTTGCGACCTTGATGATGCTGTGTTTGCAGCTGCTATCAATGCACTTGCTCTTGCTGCTTTACCCGCTCTTGTTGGCAACGGTAGTGGTTATGGCCGTTGGAGGAATTGTTTATCAGGTATTTGCCATGGGTATCAGCCTACTCGCCGCATGTTGGGTCATGTTTGGTTTTCGCTGTTCTGTCGTGCATAGTGTACAGGGGTTTCAGACTTGAGAGTTTTGAGCTAGGCTATGACCTTAACCCTGAACCCCTAAGCCGACCCTAAGCCGACGTTGCAAACAGGTGAAGAACTTCGTGTACAACCAGGCAGATGCGCGCTTGGGCGGCGTACCAGACGCCTGGTCTCTGGTCCGGGCGTATGGCCGACTGAAACTGGGCAAGCGAGTAATAATTAGAATAGGGTATAATTATAGTATAGTAGACCCCAAAACCCTATTCTAATTATTAAGGCCCCTATATTATGCTACATGAGGGCTGCTGTCAGGGCCAAAATGAGGGTCAATAGAAGGGTTACCGTGTGATTCCATGATGCTGCAGCTACTTAGGTATCTTAACGGCAGGACTCGTATGACACATTGGGTGAGAAAGGGAGTGGTGAAGGTGATAGGAACTGATATTTTCACGTTGCTGGGGATGCGATCACACAAGAGGTCCACGAACAAGACGGAACGTTGTCATCGAGAGTTCGCACACCACAAGAGTTCAGTAGTGAAACTCTGCCATCAGCCATGGACCAGTACCATAAACCCTGACTTCAGCAAAAAGGAAGTCGGCCCAGATGCCTCAATTGTTAACGTTACAGCTCCAAAATCCGAGAACCATAGAATAAAGTGATGCAGCAACACTGGCTCGGCGTCCGGGGCTGGGCCCAAACGAAAGAACCTCTGGAGCCGTACTGCAAGCCTCTAGCCGGGCCCAACCCCGACAGTATCTAAGGATTTCGAGTTGAGGGAGTTTAGGGTTCTTAGGGTTTAGGGTTTAGGGTTTGGGTTTAGGGTTCTTGTGCACCGCTGCTTGCTGCAAAGGAAGTTCCAGACTTCGAACTTTCCGAGCGCTGCCGCGCACGTCTGGTACGCGGCCTACGTAGCTGCGCGTGCCGGTCTGGTGGCTCTGCGTCCGGACTGAACTTACGTTGCTGCTAGCTGCTAGCCTGGGCAGGGTTGTGCAGGGATTGGGCGGTTGGGGGTTTCATTTCAGCCGGCACCCACAAGTCCCGTGGCATGCAGCCAGCCAGTCTTGGTTCCCTTGTGCGGACCGGTCCCTGCGAAAGCCCAGCCCATGAAGCTTGGAGACAGAGCCAGACGCACCGATCCGACTCAGCACCCCCCAAGCCGTAGACTTGGTGCCGGGGATGGACTCAGGAGACAAACTCTACACCCGAAGCGTCAAACTCCAGCAAAAGCGCCCTGAACCCCCCTACACTCCTAACCCGCTAAACTTTGGAAACCCCATCCCTTAAACTGAAACTCCAAAGCCTCAACCCGAGCTTCTAAGCCCTGAGAACCCACTTCCCCGGTCCTTGCAAGCTCTTTCTGAGCTGGGCCGGAGTGGATGGGTCAAACAAGAAACCCGAACCCCCAAACCCAAGACATCAAACAATAGAGGGGCCTAAATAATTACCAAAACTATTTTGCGGGGTTCCTTGTTATAGTTATAGTATTGGTATACTATACCCCAAAACCCCTATTATAGTTATAGTATTATTAGAATATACCCCAAAACCCTATTCTATAAGTATTAAGGCCCCTGCATTCTACATGAATTCAAGCACCCGAAGGCTTCTGGAGCTCCCAGACAGGGCCGCTCCGGCGTCCGACCGCTGCCCGATGATGCCCGGCATGGAAGGGCCTTGATGGGATCAGGGCTTAGGGTTTATAAGGTTTATAGGGTTTATAGGGTTTATAGGGTTTACAGGGCTTATAGGGTTTGTAGGGTTTGGGGTTTAGGGGGCTTAGTTCGAGGGCTTTCGGGTTTAGGGTTTGAGGCCTTTAGGGTGCTAGCTTTTTAGGCTTTTGGGTTAAATGTGCTGTGCAATGTATACACGCAGGGCCCTTAATGCTATCAGCATGGTACTCGTGCTAGTAGGTGGTACACTTACTCTTCCTTCTTTTTCATGGTGGCTTGCAACAGTCGTAGCACTTTGCTGGGAGTGTGGTGATGGTGGGGGCGATATGCTTCTTGGTGTATAATTATCACCACCGGCTTCAGTGGCTTCAGCACCAGCAGCTCGGCTGGGTGGTATCACGGTTGCTGTTCCGTGTCTTGAGTCGTTCTGCCACCGCATTGAGGCTTGGAGCCGTGTGCTCGCTGATGGCGCGTCGGCTCCAGGCCGTTACACCCCAGGCGGTGGTAGCCTTGCATCGGGTGGCTCCGTTATCGAAGTGCTTCGGCGTTAGATGCGGTGTGCGGTGATGCCTGTAGTCACTGTAGTACCAAAAAATAGCATGTCTGTGATGGGGAAACAGGTCTCTGTTGCCTTGCATACCACATCGACGGCCAGCTACAGCAAAGAATCACACACAAGCATCGATTTATTTTGGAAGCTTTTCTGAGTCTTGTTACTGAAACGCTCACGGGTTTGAGATAACAAATTTTGAGCATTGCTCAGAATACCCATATGCCGGAGTATGTTAGGGAATCAAAAAGCAATGCTCAGATCTTCCGCACTGCCAGTCGACATGTCAATTAGCTGATTCGAGTTAGTTTGTCTATTCTCTACCCTGCCGCATCAGGGCTGTCGTGCCTCGTACGCAGTACGCATCTTCCTTGGTGGTCTGTGGTGGGAAAACACATATTTTATCGGCCTGACACTGCTTCAGATTTCCCAAGAGTTTTTGAAGCGGCAGGTGACTGGGCCAAGTCGAACCCTGTTCTCCGCACAGCCTCAGATCCCAAACCCCGTGACCTTGAATTCGAACTGTTTCTCCACTCGCTAAGCCAGAACCACTCCAAAACCCAATGAAGCCCCTAATATGGGGGCCTTAACAATTACCTATACTATTTTGGGGTTCCTTATTATCCCAACCCCCTATTCTAATTACCAAGGCTCCTACACTATGCACTTCCTATCGGACAACACAGCCCGAAGCGCAGAAACCCTAAACCCTCCTCAACCCTCTGAACCCTGTAAGCCCCAGACCCAGCAGCCGTAAACTGCCGTAAACCCCGAAAAACCCTAGAAACCCTAAAAACACCTTAGAACCCCCCAAAAATCCGAAAAACTCTTCAAAAAGCCCTTAGAACCCCTAAAAAATCCTGGAAGCTCTTAAATGCCCTCGGAACCCTAAAAATTCCTGGAAGCTCTTTAAAAAAAAAAGCCCCCAAGCCCCCAAAAACATCCACCCCGTGGCAGGGCGCCGAGCTGGCTGGGGCCTCGGACGCGGACTCGGCGGACCTCCTCCGAGCCGACGTGGAGCAGGCGGCCCGTGGTTGTTGGTGTAGGATTAGGGTTTAAGGGTTTAAGGGTTTAAGGGTTTAGGGTTTAGGGTTTAGGGTTTAGGGTTTAGGGTTGATAAGTTCCCTAGGTGTAGGATTGATAAGGGGGTTTCCGAAAATAGGGGACCCTCATATAGTACCCTAAATAGTAGGATCCTTATTATAAGGACCCCCAAATAAGGTACCCTGATTTTCGGAAACTCGCAGAAGTTCCCTAATATGGGTTATGATTATAGTTGCCCTACTTTGAACCCTACTCAGAACCAGCCATGAACCTCCAGGCTTGAGGGTTGGGGTTTGGGGATTTAGGGTTCAGGGTTTGTGGTAGGGTTTGGGTGTAAGGGTTGAGTTTTGAGGGTGTGGGGTGTAAGGGTTTAAGGTTTTTGGGGGCTTAGCCGATAACTCTAAACCCTAAACCCTGGACTTTTCTGGTGTGCAGCTGGAAAAAGGGCCCGGTCAAAAAACAAAAAAACCCAAAACCCCAACTCATGTCCGGGTTCCCGAGGAGAGCTCCTTCTTCCACGATGTGCTCGTCTCTTTGCTGCGCCTGGGCTGTGCCGATTCAGATCTGTGGAGGGGCGCACCTCCGTCGGGTTTCAGCATGCAAGTGGAGCTTCGCATCCGTCGGGTTTCAGCAGGGGTGCATGCAAAAAGCCGTAGAGCCTTGGCAAAACACAAAGCACCCTAAACCCGAAACCCCCTAAACCCTAAACCGAAAACACCCTAAGCCCCAAAACACCCTAAACCCGAAACCCCTCGTCCCTCTCGCAAACCCTAAGGCTGGGTCGGAACTTCGCCTTCAGCCGGCTGCCCGAGGGAACGGTGGAGGACGGCACCAGTTGGTGACCAGAAAGGAGGGCTTTTCGGGGAGACTATCTTATAGGGGCCTAGATAATCACCAAGACTATTTTTGGGGTTCCTTATTTATTATGAGTATAGTATAATGGGCCAGGGTACCTTATTTCGAGCTTCTTCGAACAAGGATCATAGTGATTTACGATTTTGGATCTGGAGCTGCTGTAGGGTGTGTCTCAGAGTTCCACTTTGCAACCGCCTGGCTTCACTTGAGCGGACCCCTGGCCCTATCAACCCTATAAGCCCTACAAGCCCTATAAGCCCTATAAGCCCTATAAACCCTATAAACCCTATAAACCCTATAAGCCCTAATCCAAGCCAAGAACTTAGACTCCCCCCCCGCCCAGCTTGGAGCTCTCTGCGGAACCCTGAGCTCTTTCTCGGGTTGTGGAGTCCAGGGGGGTAGGGGCCTGGGTTCTTGGAGAGTCGGGTTTAGGCTCTTAGTGGGTTCAGAGTTTACGCGGATTGATCGGCGCGGGTTGAGTTTTTTAGGATCTGGGATGCCCCAGTTCTGCAAACCCCGAGCCCAGACGTTCGAAACCGCGGAGGATTGGCTCTGGTATCGCTTGCACCTGGTGCACCTGCTGGGCAAGGCGCCTTATATATATATATATATATGTATATGAAAATTACTACATCTGTTTAATAGGTACGTATGTATCGTATATATATACATATATATATATATACATACACAGATACATACATACAATTACATACATCCACATTGCCAAAGAGGTTCAGGTCTGACCTGAACTCCACATCCGCAAAGCCAAATGTAAGATGGCGGCTTCAATGGTCAGAACGGGGTTTGGTGGTCCCGTGTCATGGCTCAGTCACTTTGCTAGACTATCTGCAGATATCGTTTCTGATCATCCCGACCCTCACATTCTAGAAGCACCTCAATGCTTTTGAAAGCCCCAAACCCCGAAGCCTGGGCCTTGAGTCTTGCCGTTCTGTTTGGGAGTCGAGCTGACAGCTCCACATGCTGAGACCTCGACAGCCCTTCCGTGATGGGCCGCAAGTCTACAGTCAGACTTCCCTCAACCCTGAGTCTGTCGTAGTGGTCTCCGAGTATCGGACAGCCCGACTATGTCCGACTAGATATCCCATCCTGCATCGAGACCTTCGGCCTTGTCCTTTGCCTTCGCAGCAACAGCTCTGCCCAAGCTGCATTCAGCTAGTCAAGACGTTGTTTGCCCATCTCTTCACTTCCATTCCAATGGCGTGATTTCTCTGCTCTCCTCCGGTGAGCACCGCATCCGCAAGTGGATGGCCAGGCGAATGCAGAAACGCTTCTTGCTGGGGAAGACCGGGCTGTTGGCCAGTTGCTCCAAGATGGTGGACTTGCCCGTGCTCTCATCGCCGAGGACGATGATGCGGTCGTGTGCCTGAAGCCACTACTTCTTCAACCGGCAATCCACATGAGCATCACCTTGACGAAGGTCAAGAGTCGTAGGCCAGAAACACCAGGAAACGCTACACAGACTTGCAGGCACTAAAAAAGAAACACCATTGATGCTTCTTTTTTAATGCCTGCAAGGCAAGTCAGTGTGCTACTGCGCTTAACGCCGAGAACAGCCTAGCAGGTCATCACGAAAGGCCACATGGATGAGTGCATGGTCGCCAATTTGAGACAACAGGATG